AAAGAAAGTTAACGAAACATCTCTGTTGAATCAAAAAGCTCCTTTCTCAAGTTCGAGACTCTTTCGATTTCTATGTATGGATATAAATATATAATGTATTAAGTGAGTGACAAAAGATTAGTTGTTGGAAAGAGTTAACTTGTCGACCAAGACTCAGTTGACCCACGTGTTTGGCGGCTCTTGGACATCGTCATAGGCTTCATCATGGTGCAAAACACCCTTATGTAAGCTCTACCAACATTATTATTCTAGTACAAGCTAACGAACGCTACTTCAACTAGCTAATATTTAAACATCCATTATGCAGGAAACCTTAAAAAATTATATCTGCATTCTTCTTTCTTTTTTCTATTTTCTTTTCTTTATTTTATATATTTTTGCACGTGGAAGAGTAGTTTTTTAAGAATTCATGCATATTGTACTCTGCTACAGACACATGTACACCTACTGAAATAATATTAAAATGGAATTTGATGTCCCGTGTACTCTCTACAGACACATTGTAACACCTAAACAAGAGGCTGAAGTCTGCTTATACCACAAAAACCGGGTTTTCTAAACCTCTCCTTGACTCTTCAATACTATGACAAACAGTCTCTCTCATTTCTTCCAAGCCCACGGAATAACAAACTGGTAACAGAATACAGAACTAAGTGTAATCAAGCAGAAAACCCACGTAGGAAAATGGGTTTGAGAAGACTCAGCACCAGAGTACTAGTTGAATATGACAGTGTAAAGAAAGAAAGTTAACGAAGCATGCTCTGTTGAATCAAAAACTCCGTTTCTCAATTTGAGGACCTTTTCATTTGTAGGTATATATATAAATATATATGTATTTGAAAAAAAAAAAAAAAAAAAAAAAAAAAAAAAAAAAAAAACCACCTAAAGAGTGAGTGAGTGACATATTGGAAGAGAGTTAACTTGTCGACAGAGATAGAGCTAAGCACTACAGCTAAGTGTCACAAAATTTGTGCCTTTCGATGTTTGAGCGGAGGAAAGAAGTTGACCCTCGTGTCAAGCTGGGATTCATCATGGTCCAAAACAAGCCATTATGTAATATGAAAGCTCACCAACTATCCACTAACATTATTACTATACAAGCTAAAGATTACCACTTTAATCTTAGCTAATATTCGCCCTCTTTCACTCAACCTTCTTTTTCTTCAACTTTTTTGCTAATAATTTCCGATTACAAAGCTGCCTTTTGAGTTGTAATTTATATTTTTCTTGGGCCCAAGCATAACATATTGCTACGTTTCTATTTAGTTGAAAAAATGTGCCAAAAGCTTTGGAAAATTGTCATGGTACTAACAAACCACTTCACAATTTTTAACATTTATTGAATAGTTTCATGTAATACTTCAATTTCCAAAAAGGGACACTAAGGAAATTTACTATAATATATACACATCTGGAATGGATACATGAACATACATCCAATGAGAATATAGTTATTTCAACATCAAACACTCTGCACACAAAAAGAAATTGAAATGTAAATACTCTGATTTGCATTCAAGTAGATAAAATATCAGTTATTACATAATCTGTAATAAAGCATCACTAAGATTACATTAAAAACTTCTAACCTGATCTTCAAGATCTCACGCTTTTTGTTGGTTCAAAATAATCAAATTACACAACACTATTTTCATCATCATCAAGAAACTCAGCAGAACTGTTTTTATTAAGGTTTCGCCTTCAATTCTAGTTTACTTCTCAAACTGGAATGGATCTCACAATGTACTCTGCATTTTGATTTGTGTGCTGAACAAGTTCTTGCTTTCTGAATAAAAATCAAAACTTATTATTCAATACAAATCTTTCAGGAAAAGGATGATTGAACTTATCAGTCAAGTAATCATTGTAGTGTTTAATACAAGGAAATAAGATAAAAGATAAAGTTGATTGCAGGTGAGTGACAGACGATGACAAAAAAATTCTGATCTAGAAGCCAATCTATAACCTTAAGTCATAAAGGGCACTTTCAAACTTGTCTATTCTTTACTTTAGTGGTAAAATTCACATCTTTAGCTATGATTCAATAATGGTTTATTTTTTCACTGTATCAATGGTAAATCCAATAGTAGATATGGCTCATGCTCCGTGTGAAACAAGCGGTTAGAAAGCACTTTTACAGTTTGATTTATAGAATATGTAACACATCATGTTGACCATATTTGAGATATGCAGCATAATTTGGCAATAAACTAGATCTTCATACATTTCTCTTAACAAGTTCAATTCAATTCTAAGAATCGTTTCGAAATGTGTTAAATTGATTTCCTGAAGTATAGATCCCAAAAATTGGTTGTATACAAAATGTTTAACGCTGAAAGAAATGTCTCAGCTACCAGTTCTACCAGTTTTTGTCCTCCAGCCTTGTTGAAGGAGAGGTCCAATGATTCAAGTTCTGTCAAATTTCCCAACGGTGGGGAACATAACCTGTAAGGTGGTTGTGGGAAAGTTGACTACTTTGAGAACTCAGAACTTCCTTGGGGCACTGAGCACAAAACTGCAGAACTAACAAATATAAGACATTTATTTCTCCTGGTGAGAGAAAACGGATTAATCATGATACCGCAGGTTACAAATCCCAAAATTTCTTTGTCTGTTTGTTTTTGTGAACTAGCCGAATAATGATTCTCGATGAATAGTAAAATATATACATATATATTTTTTGTTGGTAATCCGAACACTTTGGCCAGCATGCCCAAAGAGTCTTCTAAGTAATTTTATGTGACATTCATATATATTTGATGATACTCCCGATAATGAAGATATATATAATGATTCCAAGTTCTTGAATATTCATTAATATTCAAAGCAAAATCCATGAAATATGAACGAAATGAACTAAAATTTAAATGCTATTGTGCTAATACAATTGCACAAACACGAAACAAACACAAATCAAACCCCTATAAAATCAAGAAATTTTATACCCTACAAGGCCAAAGGGTGGTGATAGCCGTCTAAGCAATTGAGAAGAACGCAGACAACCCAAAAGCACAGCCAAAACCAAACTTTCCCTTTAAACAATCTCAAAACCTAAAAACTTTAGGCCAAGCATTCTTCATTAACAATATGCTCTGTCCATAACTCCATACCCTGCGTTTACTGCACTTTCAACAGCCAAAAACTCTCTCGCAACCAACACCAAGGCCTTTTAAAAAAATTAATGCTTTCTCTTTTTATATTGATTGCTTACACTGACAGAAAACATAGAAGTAAAAAAAAGGAAAAAAAAAAAAAGATACAATAAAAATGGGAACTTTTGTCCACCTGAATCAAAAAACTGGGTATGCAAATATACACAAATTGCACCCCAACCAAGCGTTTTCACCACTAAATCCAAAAGGGTCATCATTTTATCATCAGACCAACCATTTCTCTGCCAATAGAAGTAACTCAACAAACACAACACAAGATTAAGCACCGAAACACTTAAGCAACCCACCAAAGTTTTCTTATAACACAAAACCCGCATTTTCTTGAACCTCTCCTTTGACTCTTCAATTCTATGGCTAACACTCTCACTGAGTTTCTTCCAAACCCACGAGAATAACAAAACTAGTAACAGAACTAAGTGCAATGAAGCAGAAAACCCCCTTGAGAAAATGGGTTTGAGAAGAAACTCAGTACCTGAATACATTATTGAATATAAGTGTGCAAAGAAAGTTAACGAAACATGCCCTAATGAATCAAAAAGCTCGATTTCTCAAGTTCGAAGACTCTTTAGATTTTTATGTATGGATATAAATATATAATGTATTGAGTGAGTGACAAAAGATGGGTTGTTGGAAGACGGTTAACTTGTCGACCAAGACAAAGTTGACACAGAGAGAGAGAGAGAGCTGAGCACCAAAGCTGAAGTGAGACAAAATTTGGCGCCTTTCCAGGTAAGTCGCGAGAAGGAGAAGGGAGAGAGAAGTTGACCCACGTGTCAAATTCTTTGTCGGATTTCACCATGGTCTTAAACAAACCATTATGTAAGCTCTACCAACTACCCGATAATTATTCTATTAGAAGCTAAGGATTACCACTTTATCCTTCAGCTAATATTTAGATTATCATATTATAATGCAGGAAACCTCATTACACTTTTAACTATTCTTTTCCTTCAACTTGTTTACAAAGCTGCCTGTTGAGTTGAGTGCTCAACAAGTAATTTATAATTTTTTCTTGGGGCCAATAATAATATATTGCTACGTTCTAATTTAGTTGGAAAATTGTGCCTAAAGCTTTGGAAAAATTGTCATGGTGACTAACAAACCACTTTACAATTGTTTATATTAAGACATTCATTGAATTGTTTTATGTAATACATCAATTTCCAGATAAAGAAATTTACTATAATATTACATTCTGGAGATAAATACTAATAGAATTTGAGATGTGATTGACTGTTCACTCAATAAAGTCTAATTAAATAGAAGAATTATCCTCTCTTATAAGTCAAGTCGGCTCTAACTCCTTACCCGTTAGTCAAACATTCAACTCAACTAAACCTGGACTCTGATACCATGATAGAATTTGAGATAGACTTGACTCTTCACCCAATAAGGTCTTATTGAATGAGAAGATTATCCCTTCAGTTGAGCGTGTCTAATCGGTGTGAAACTCAAACAGATTCATGAACATCCATCCAATGAGAATATATATAATTTCAACACATATCCACACATATATCACTACTGTTCGATTCTAACTTTGTATTACCATAAAAAAGGAATTCTAAACATCAAGCACTCTGCACACAAACAGAAACTGAAATGTAAAATACTCTGATTTGCATTCAAGTAGATTGTAATATTAAAATAAGAAGTTTACTGGTGTACTAATCTGTAATAAAGCATCACTAAGATTACATTAACAACTTCTATTTTCTTTGGTACAACATAATCAAGATTAACACAATACTATTTTCGTCATCATCAAGAAACTCAGCAGAACTGTGTTTTATATTAAGGTTTTACCTTCAAATTTCAGTTTACTTCTCAAAACTGGAATTGGATCTCAAATTTCAGTTTACTCCAATTTTCTCCATTCTCAGTAACTACAAAATCCATATTTCCATATACAATAAAATTTATGTGCCTTAATTAGGTTCGAAAAATTTGGAAATCACAGAAGAGGAAGAAGAGGAGGCAGACCTTTGGAATCTAGCTTCCCTTCCTTCTTTCTTACTTCATCTCCTAGTTGGCACTTATCCAATGCCTAAAACAATTTAATTAAATGTTAGCAAACCATCTTCAAGAACAAAGACTGAAATCCCTGAATGTCAGATTTAGTAGGAAAGGTAACAAGGAAAAACTTCATACTACAATCAAATTAAATCAACCTACCTCCCATATTTGCTCGTCTGTGTATTCTTCAAGAGGGTCCAGGTTGCTTCGTACAGTTCCTTCAAACATGGTTGGATCTTGAGGAATGATGCTTAGTCTTGACCGTAAATCATGCAGTCCAATTGATGAGATATTGATTCCATCTATCATAACCTGACCGGCTGCAGGTTCAACAATCCGGAAAAGTGTTTGAATGAGAGTAGATTTACCACTTCCAGTTCTCCCAACAATGCCAGTTTTCATCCCTCCCGGAAAAGTGCAAGTGAGACCTCGCAGCACAAGTGGCATGTGTGGGGCATATCGGACCTACGCCCGAACCATAATAATTGATTATGCATATGTCATTGAAGAATGAGAGAATGGAAGTATAAAACCAGTAAATTACCTGTAGATCATGGATGTGAACTTTTCCATGCGATGGCCAAGAACGGTCGGGCCGGCTTTCTTCTATTACAAGAGGTGGCTCACTAGGAATACAAGTGTATTGAAGTATTCTCTCAACTGAAATAATCTTGTTCTCAAGATTGCAAAGATTCCATATGACCCAAGCTTGTAACATGTTTAGATTGAGCCCGTATGTCACAGCCAATCCCGCAAGTGCTTTAAAAAAGAAAAAGAAAAGAAACAGTTCCTTCAATCTCTGCTTTAACATTTACTGTCAATACCCAGAAACATTAGCAATAAGATAGCTTAATCAATCACCTGGATCAATTACACCCTTCGGGATAGAAATTAGGAAAATCAAAGAAAAGGCAAATGTTATAGAAGACAACATATCCAGGCGGAAGCATAGCCATTCCATTGCAGCAGCACTATGGAATTTGGGCCGAGAATATCCATCCATCAGTTTCATATTTGTGTCTTTGAACCTCGATTCTTGATCAAAGCTCCTGATAGTTGTTGACCCGGAAATTGTTTCAGCAAAATGTTGAATCACTGGAGCTTTGCATACTCCAATTAACCGTGAAAGTTCTCGTGCCGAAGGTAAGTAATATTGCTGCAAAATTATATCACTGTCAGAAATCAACCATCAGAAAATGGTAAAAACTATGGCAATGAACGGACTTCGCATAATCACATTATATTAACTCTTCTGTGGAAATTCTGTAACTTAGAAAATAAGGGAATACAGATATGACCAAGAGCATTTTAATAACTATGTTTTATACGCAATTATAACTAGATGCATAATCCAGAAAATCAACAATTCTCATAGAAAAACTATATAAAACAAAAGACAATACAAAAAAACATGAGGTAATAGTCAAGATTGCATAGGAGATTTGATGCAAAGCCATAATTTGGCATAACTTAGAAGAGTCGCCAAGAGCAGAAGGATTACCTGATACCAAATGCTGGTGGCGATCACAGGGATAAAAACAAGAAAAACCTGCCATGCAACCTGAGACATCACTATAATGATTCCTAGAAGCTGGATCATTGAGAATGCAAAAGCCCCAACTTGAAACGGAATGTTCAAGTCCAACGCACTTTGATCGGTAGAAGCCTATACAAGCAAAAGCACAAAAATTAAGAATATTCAAATTTTTAATATTTGGTATAATATTGATATTCAAAAAATTAGGAAAACACAGAAAAACATTACTCTGTTGCAACCAGAGAAGACAATTTTGAAAACAATTACGCCAATGTTAAATCACCTGATATCACAAAAAAAAGATATATATAAACACTCACTCTGTTTATAATTCGTCCACTTGGGGTTGCATCAAAGAAGGACATGGGGGCACGGAAAATGCACAGATGCATCTTATTAAAGAGAATACTGGCCGTTTTGTATCCAGCCGTTACAAGAAGTGTTGCTCTGCCAAGGATGCAAAAGGAACTGCCAATAGCCAAAGCTACGTACACAATTATTAGTGTAGAGCCCCCAACAGGTGGTTTTGCATCCTCAGACACAGGAGTTGCCCAAGCCATCCAATAATTGCTGCCTATTTGAAGGGTCTGAAAGAGAATCTGTGCCAACAATATAAATGGCACAAGGGCTCCTCCATATGCTGTAGTGATATACTTCCAGTACACTGAAAACCCAACTCTACCTTTCTCTCTCTCTTCTTCTTGCACAAGCTGCCCTTTTGCCTCTGCTACTTCATCTGCTTTATCATTCTGAACATCTTGATGTTTTTCATTTTTAGCAACACCACCATTACTACTTGTGCTACAATTTTCTTTGCTAGTACTTATTTTTTCAGAAACATGCCCACCCTCTATGAAATCAAGAGCTGACAAAGCTTGCTTATGTGCACCCACAAGTTCCATAAAATCAGTTCCTGTATTAAGAATTTCAGTGTACTTTCCAGCTTGTGTAATCTTTCCATCCTTCATCACCTAACAAAGCAAGGTATGAATAGATTTAATGTGTTTTGAAAATGAAGCCATGGAATCCAGTAGAAAAGAAGAGTAATATAAATTGCTCACCAAGATAAGATCAGCAGCAGGTAAGAACTCCACTTGATGAGTAACATAAATCACCGTTTTTGAACTCAAAGCACCCAGCAATACTTCCTGCACAGAAGAATAAGTATCCGTTCCATTAAGTATTTCCTTAAAGAAGAAAATTAAAAATAAACGGTCTAACGGCAAAGCACTCATCTCATGCATAGGGCAATATTAGTTGAATAAACTTAAATTCAGCAAGAAGTAAAAGCATTATGATAGAAACAGAAGTAACCTTAAAGAGGTGAGATCCTGTATGCGCATCCACTGCACTAAAAGGATCGTCAAACAAATAGATATCAGCATCCTGGTACAGAGCACGCGCAATCTGTATCCTTTGCTTCTGTCCTCCACTCAAATTAATTCCCCTCTCACCTATAACAGTCTGATCACCAAAAGACAGGATCTCCAAGTCCTTCTTCAGGGAACATGCTTCAAGAACTCTGTCATACCTTTCTCTGTCCATTTCCTTACCAAACAAGATGTTGTCTTCAATCTTGCCACTCTGTATCCACGGCGACTGAGCAACATAAGCCTTTGTACCACACAGCTTAAGGTTACCAGAAATCTTGGGTACTTCTCCCAGGATACACGAAAGTAAGCTTGATTTACCCGAACCAACAGTACCACAAACTGCAATCCTCATGCCATGGAACACTTTCAAGTTGATATCCCTTAGCGTTTGATTTGGGGAAGAAATATTCCAGGAGAAGTTTGCATCAACTATATTTATTGCTGTATCAGAACTATCTCTTGGCTGCTTCTCTATAACATCAGTCTGCAAGTCATCAAGACATAGAAAAGATGCAAGTCTATCAAGCGAAACCTTAGTCTGAATGATCATTGAAATTGTGTCAGGAAGATTATAGATTGGCTCTTGAAGAATCCTGAACGTTGCAAGAGCAGATAAGATCTTGCCCGACTCAAGCGGGATTCCTAAAAGCATACAAGCGCCAAAAGTGGCCACGGACACAAAAGTAGGAGCACCCCAGAAGACAAAACTGGTCATCGCTGAAGTGTAAACATATTTTTTCAACCATCCAGCCTCACTCTTTCGGAGCTCAACAACCTTAGACAAAAACTTCATCTCCCATCCCTGAAGTTTAAGAATTCTCATGTTCCTTAAAATCTCAGAAGTTGCCTTCATCCTCTTATCTTTTGATTCCATCAACTTGTCTTGGAACCTCTCTTGCAATCTCCCCAAAGGAAAATTCGCCAGCATAACAATTATTGTTGCCAATAGAGTTGCAATCGATGCAAGCCCAAGATTTTTATACAAGATCACCAATGCCAAAGCAACTTGCACAAGCACCATCCAGGGATCATGCACGTACCAGCTGAAGTCACCAACTCTCTCAGCATCAACAGTCATGAAATTAATGATTTCCCCGCTGGTATGCCCCTGCTTCGCCTGACATGAAAGTGTCAAAGCCTTGTTGTACACCATTGCAATAAGAACTGCTCGGATCCTAATTCCGAGCTGCTGCAACCGAAAGAACCAGTTCCTCTGGGAGAGGCACTCCACAAGTTTCGCAACAAAAAACACCGAAACCAAAACATACCCCTCATTTTCAAATTCCCGCTTCCCATTGAGGTATTGCACAAAAGTGTCAATGAGATAGGGGCCAACATATGAGGCCATTGTGTATAAAAGAGCAAGGAAACCTGTTAACAGAATTTCCTTCCATGCTGACCAGACCACTGCCTTCACCAGTTTTATAGTGGTAACGCCACCCTCTGCCTCAAGCTTACTTCTGAAAATTGGGAAGGCCCCAGCTACACTATCTTCCTTATCTAACTGAGGGACGTCCTCTAGGTCTAATGTTTTCTTATTGCCGACAGCAATCAGAGAACCCATCCAAGAGAAAGTTAAAAGACTAAATAGACCAGCATTTGAATAAGGGGTCACTTTATCAGCCCCTTTGGACTTGATTCTTGACCCTACATTTGAATTACCATTCAAAAGTGGTTCTTGAAGGAGGGTGTCTTCACCCTCACTTCTCTTCACAAACCCCACATAACAGAAAAACAACCCACTGATAAAAGAGACGACATCAGAAACCAAATACTGAATTGGTAAAGACACATGGTTTTTGTAAAGAAGAACGTCAATAACAAGACAATAGCAGGAGATAGACATGAAAGAACCCCACCAAACTCTCAATAAAAATGGGAACTTTTGTTCAGCGGAACTAAAAAACTGAGTATGTAAATAAACACAAATTGAACCCCAACCAAGTGTTCTCAGCACAAAATCAAAAAGGGTCACCAGTTTATCATCCGACCAACCATTTCTATACCAATAGAAGTAACTTAATAAACACAACACAAGATTAAACACTGAAACACCTAAACAACAAACAAAAGTCCGCTTATACCACAAAACCCCTCGGTTCTTAAACCTCTCCTTCGACTCCTCAGTACTATGACTAACACTCGCTCGCAGTTTCTTCCAAACCCACGAGAGAAATAACACAAGTAACAAAACTAAGTGCAACGAAGCGGAGAACCCACGTAGGAAAATGGGTTTAAGAAGAAAATTAGTACCTGAATACATGAGTGAAGAAGAAGAGTGTGTAAAGAAAGTTAACAAAACAACCTTTGCTGAATCAAAAAGTTCCATTTTTTAGAGAGTTTATAGCAAAAAGAGGTGTACTTCGAAGCTTTGAGGTTTCTACCTGTGAATATTGAAGACTCAATTTGATGTGTGTTTATATATATCAAGGGAGCCCAAAAGAGACAAACAGATAGTCAAAGACGGATTCTTGGAAGATAGTTAACGTGTCCACCAAGACTGGGGAGACGGAGAGAGCTAAGAACTGAAGCTAAAGGGGAACAAAAACTTGGCTTTTTTTTTCCAGGGAAGGAGCGTGGACAGTGAGAGGCTGAACCTCACGTCAATACGAGATCTTTAATGTTATCAATTATGATTGTTCAATAATGTACGGTACTGATTATAAAAATTAGTTAAAATAGGTGTAAATTAGTTAAACACCTTAATTATTAAAAAAAAGTTTAATAATTATATATGGTAATATTACTAAATTTGATAGCCCTTATGATAGAATGCATCATCAAAAGCTAGTTTAAAAGGTACTTCGGGCTACCTTGAAAAACAGAGCAACTTTCTAGAAATTAAAAAATATAACAGCTTCCTGGAAACAGGGGATCAATGAAAATTATTAAATCATTAATTAATTTCAATTAAAAAAATAATACACTTCACTCCCTAGTGTGACATAAAACAAAATTGCTGAGTTACTGATACTTGAGTTGTGTGGTCAACAAGAAAAACTGAAGCGTCATTATTTATTAATATGTTGATTTTCTTGGGGACCAAACATAGCTTTTTGTCATATTCAACTTTTAAAAAAGTTTTTGGGCTCCACTCCATCATCTGAGTTATGCTTGGAAATTTGTGCCTAAAAAGTTTTGTCAAATTTGGCATGAGTGAGTGGGCTGACCCTGTCACATGCCACATTAAAATTCTCTTGATTTGAAATGTTTCTTTTCACTTTATTTGCTTGGGGAGGAGAGTAGGAAATTGTAAAAATAACTTTACTCTTTATTATGATACCATACCCTTGAGAAGAAATACAAAAGGAAAAGGATATACAAGGTTAGTAACATTAATCCCCTTAAGATATGATACAATAACATAATTTCCTTTTAAGGTTTTAGAAATAACTAAAATTCTCTTGATGTTAAATTTTAAGTGTTAAAATAAATGGTAAAAGGGTAATTTGGTAATATTTATGAAGTTTTAATAGTGTAAATTTTAACGACTTATTAACGATTCGTTAATGACGAGGTATTCAGGCCCATATTAGATCCTACCTAATCCTTGGAGTCATAAAACATCCTACAAACTCAATGACCAAGGTAATTGTATAAATGTAGTAAGTGTTTCTCTTAGAACTCGAACACAAGACTCTTTGGATACAATTAATTCTAGTGACTAAAGGGTTTGTCATCCCTATTACAAAGGGAGAGATTTTTGTCATTTTATTATACATCATCGGGTCTATGGCTTTAACCCAAATATTTATGATATTTTTACAACTAAAAGGGTGAGATTGATAGTGCAATAAAAATATGGGACCTCTAGGGTGTTTTTCTAGGTACCACTTTTTCCAAACTCATGCTTCACCAATTAGGTAAGGTAGGATCTCCATTTATATGCTAATAAACTTATACTTTGTCTTTTTATAAGTTTTACCAACATTATATACATATATTTTTTAATTATCATATGGTTAGATTCTTTTAATATGTCAATTGGACTTTATAAAAAGAAGGTTTACTCTCTAGTAAAATATAAGACAAAATTGTTGACCCATCATATTTGAGTTTGGGTTGTGTGCTCACCAAGGCAGGAAATACCATTATTTGTCTATTTTCTTGGGGACCAAAAATTGGATTATTCTTATTTAATTTAGAAAAAATGGCTATAAGGGCTCCACCTTAAGAATATGATTGGAAATTTTGGCCAATTCTTTGTCAATTTGTTATAGTGAGTGGGTGGGTTGGGGAGGCACTTATAGTTATGGATCACAACTCAATATCCACATTTTAAAATTGTCTCTATCAAGAAATTGATTGCATGAATTGAAAAATCTACTCCATATTCTTGGAACAATAGCCACAAATTGCAATGGAATGTACCATTTTTCCAAGATCAACTTCTTTGAATTTATTTGGTTTTAAGCAAATACCCAAAGTTTAAAATACTTCATTGCAAACCACCCACTTTAACTCAAAATATAGAATTTGGATAAATGAACTATCGTAATTGTGTTAAAATCTTAAGTTACGGTAACGCAACCCTAATTTTATTTTGTATAATGTACTTGAAAAAATAGTAAGCGATGATTTGATTTTTGCTCAAGTTGTATAGCTTTTTTTGAGCCATTACTTTTTAAAAGGTTAGACTTACTCACATGCTTGAATTGCTATTATTATTACTATTATTATTTTCTCGAAGTCAATTGTATAGTTATACGTCACTAGCAAAAATAAAAGCGATTTTTCATTTAAAGAAAAAACCAAGAGTATGAAATATATTCTTGGTAAAATGATATTCTTCTTTCATTTACATCCATAGAAATTAGATATAAATATCTAAAAGATTTTCATAATAAACAACAATTTATCTTCTTTATTATAATTCAAATAAAACATTACATTATGAAATGTGTGGTAGTTGAATGACATAGACCAAAACTCTAGGGACCTTAATGAAATTTTCTCAGAAGAATAAAATGAAAGAATTTTATCAGAGAGAAGAGAACAAATTTGCACAAGTATCCAAAAGTGCTTCTGCAGAAGCAGAGAAACAGTACAATGGTCAGAGAGAAGAAATATAATAAGCTTTTTTTCAACCAGCAAGAACAAGATGATAAGATATTTGACAGTGAAATTGCATTAGACTTTTTAAATATATAGAACCATGGAGATTCTAAATTAAGTTTAAATTATCCACTAATTAAATCTTAAATTACATCACATGTCTCTCTTAATCTAATCAAACTACACTTTTTTATTACCACTAAATTCTTGATAATACATTTCACATATCTATTCATTATTTATATTGTACGTTGTTATATCACCAAATCACCATTCATATAGTGACCCTATAGTATACATTGTTATAATTATTATATAAAGGGTAGTTTAATATTTTTCATGTATAAGGGTAGTTTAGTCTTTTTTTCTTTTTCCTTGGAACCTATTTATTATATCTTTAATGTATAAGGATACCCTTCTCTCTAGTATGAGTTTCTTCAGTATATTGATTTTCTTTTGATTTATCATAATATTAGAGTCAAATTTGTTTATATTTGAATCATGGTCCCACATGTCGAACGTGGAGGAGAGTCTTAGAAATCGTATTTGTCCTACATCGTCAAGATAATGGGTTATTATGGTATATATATATGTGTGATTGAACTATCTCATTTCTTAAACTAGCTTTGAGGGATGAGTTCTACCCAAACCCACTTAACAATTGTTTTTGATGTTGTTCTTATGAATGAAACCTTAGCCTCTCTTTTTTAGTTTCTTGAATATATTGGTTCTCCTTTGATTTATCATAAAACCTTAGCCTTCTCTTTTTTAGTTTCTTGAATATATTGGTTCTCCTTTGATTTATCATAATATCATAGTTAGGTTTTTTTAGGTTTGAACACTGACCTTGCATGTAGAACGTGAGGAAGGGTATTAGAAATTATATTTGTCTAACATCGTCAAGTTGATAGGGTTATTATAATGTATATATGTGTGATTTGACTCCCTATTTCCTTGAACTAGTTTTTATGGATGAGTTTTACCTAAACCCATTTAATACCTTGCCTTTAGGAACTTACCACTTTGCCGTTATAATATTTATTGGCACATATATAGAGAAACCATGCTTTGCTTTATTAAGCATTTGATCAGAAACCATTACAGATTCAAGCTAAAATGGCTTTGCTTTATTAAGCATTTTATCAGCAAGTAGACGACAAAATCAAATTAAGAAGAATACTAGTGAACATATCTATACACCAGTAACTTTTAACTCTTATTGGATTGTGTTTTGCTAATTTGTGGCCTTCAATTTCCAGCTTAGTTCTCAAAACTGGAATTTGATCTGAGACTGTATTCTGCAACAAGTTGTGCAAATGATGATGACTTGTTCTCCAGCAACTTCGTTGGCGAATCATATTCCTCGATAAGTCCTACACAAGAACATTGAAAGCTCAATGATATTGGATTCTATGCCAAACATCGTATTTTAAAAGATCATACCAACCTTGATTTAGAAGCAGAACCATATCACTATCAAGAACAGAAGTTATGCGATGAGCGATTGTTATGACTGTGGAGTCAGAAAAGTGTTGCCGGAGAGTTTGTTGAATCAGATTATCAGTAGCAGTGTCAACTGATGCAGTAGCTTCATCAAGCACCAAGACCTTACTTTTCTTGAGTAGAACACGGCCCAAACATACCAACTGCCTCTGACCCATACTCCAGTTCTCTCCATTCTCAGTAACTGCAAAATCCAAATTACCATATACAATAAGATTCCTGTGCCTTGAACTCATACAATAGGAAGAAGGGACATACCTCTGGAATCTAGCTTCCCTTCTTTCTTTCTGACTTCATCTCCAAGTTGACACTTATCCAAAGCCTAAATCGTTTTAGAAAATGTTAGCAAATTCCGTGTTCAATTACAACGTCTAAACTACATTCTACAATAATATTAAAACCAACCTACCTCCCAAATTTGCTCATCTGTGTATTCATCAAGAGGGTCCAAATTGCTTCGAACAGTCCCTTCGAACATGGTTGGATCCTGTGGAATGATGCTTAGTCTTGACCGCAAATCATGAAGTCCAATTGATGAGATATTGATGCCATCTATCATAATCTGGCCAACTGCAGGTTCAATAGTCCGAAACAGTGTTTGAATGAGAGTTGTTTTACCACTGCCTGTTCTCCCTACAATGCCAGTTTTCATCCCCCCAAAAAGTGCATGTTAAACCTCGCAACACAAGTGGCAAGTGCGGGGCATAGCGAACCTATTCATAATCATAATCAAATGATCATGTGTACATGATAAAAGAATAGGAGCATGTGGTATAAACGAGTAAAATTACTTGCAGATCATTTTGCCAACTTCTCCATGGGATGGCCAAGAAGGGTCAGGCCGGCTTCCTTCTATTACAAGAGGTGGCTCACAGGAATACTACAATATGAAGCATTCTTTCGACCGATATAATCTTGTTCTCCAGATTGCAAAGATTCCATATTACAGCAGCTTGTATGTATTAAATTAAGTCCA